AGAGTGCCGCTGTGCCTTGGGGTGGGGGGCGCCTTGGGCTTCCAAGGACACACGGGGCAGAGTTTCCAGCCACCCCCTCCGTCTTCTCCCCTCCGTGGTCCCCAGCCCTGCCCTCCATACCGCCCTCTCTCCATCCTCGGGGCTCCCCCAGGATGTCCACTCTGCTCTTAACGCTTCCTTTGATCCTTAGTTTTGGTCTTCTCCGTGGCATGCACGGTTTCCAGGGCCCTGTCCGGGACCCTGGCTGGCGCCTCCAGTCTCTGTCGGCTTCCGTTAGTGTTTTTGCTGGCTCGCTCCCAGAGGCCCGTGTGCTGGCCTGTTGTGTTTGGGATGCCTGAGGGCTGCGTGGAGATCCCTCCATCCCTGAGCAGTTCCACGTGCTCCTGCTGGGCACTGGAGGTGAGGCCCGCCCGGTCACCTGCAGCCAGGTCAGGGCCCGAGACCCCAGCCCTCTGGGCCGAGCTGCTGTCACCCTGGACCCCCCAAGAGCTTGATGACCTGCACTCAGCTCAGTTGGCACAGTGGCCAGAAACAGGGTTTGCTCTCTCCTGGGGAAATCCAGGCACCGTGAGCCTCCCCACGCTCTCCCTGTAGGTTTGGTTCAGCGTCATGAGCCTTCCAGGCAGGCCAGGTCACTGCACCGAGTGCTGGCCAGTGGGGAGGGGCTGCGGCTAGGTGGCCAGACCCCAGCGTGGAGGTGGCAGCTGGGTGGAAGCCTGGCCTGGAGTGAGGTGCGTGGGGCTGGGCTTGCACGCAAACGAGGGCAGTGGTGTTGCAGCTCGGGGAGACGCCAGGACAGTGTGCGTGGTGGGCAAACGAGGCCTGGCCAGGCCATGGGGGGCTGTCGTCAGAGACAGGGCTGGGGGGCTGGCAGGGCCAGCCCTGCTGGGGGGTGTGTGTCAGCCAGGCCTAGGAGTGGGAGGTAGACCAGCAAGCTGGGAAAGCGTTTCTGGGTTGGACTATGTTCCCCAAAATGTACTTTCAAGTCCTAAACCCTGGCACGTCCAAAGGCGGCCTTATTTGGAAACAAGGGCTTTGCAGACATTGTCAAGTGAAGATGAGGTCACCAGGGTGGGCCTCTCCAGCATGACACGTGTCCTCACCACATGGAAAAGGCCCCACAATGTCCATGGCAGATGGCGGTGGGGCATCCACAAGCTGAGGAAGCCCAAGCATGAAGAGCCAAGGAATGGACTGTCCCCCAGGAGCCTGCCCTGCCCCTGCCTGGGGTCGCAACCCCCACTGCTCTGGGCCTGCCCTCAAGGGCCTCGCCTCCACCCTCCACCCCCTCACCCTCCACAACACCTCACCCCCTCACCCCTCCATCCCCCACCCCTCACCCTTCCACACCTCCACGCCCCCAAACCCCTCATCCCTCCACCCCCTCACCCCCCCAGCTCCCTCACTCCTCCACCCCCTCACCTCCATCCCTCAACCCCCTCATCCTTCCACCACCTCACCCCTCTACCCCTCACCCTTCCACCTTCTCACCCCCGCCCCCCCTGCCCCCCCACCCCTCCACCTCCCACCCCCTCACCCCTCCACCTGGAGGAGATGGAAACACAGAGTCAGCACAGACTATAGGGCAGGCTTTCACGGGCCTGGGCTTTACCTAACTGGAGGCAAGAACAGGGTGCTGGGTTGGTGGGGGCACCAAAGCAGCCTTGCAGGTCTGGGGCTAAAGACGAGGGTTTTGAGCATGCCCTTGGGGGATGTGGGGGAGGGCAGAGGGAGAGAGGCTGCTGAGATGGGGGGGGGCAGCCCTTCCCTGAGGGTGGAGAACACAGGGAGGTGCTTCTGGCTCTCTTCCTACTCCACCTGCCCCTCCTCTGCCTGCTGGGCCTGCCAGGTGGATCCGCCCCCGGGGGCAGCTGGAGCTGCCCACTGCCCAGGTGGGACCTGTATGCCCCGAGCCTCCGAGCCTCCTCCCTCCATGCTGCATGTGTGGCCTTTCAATGCAGGCCCTTTGTCCCTTGAGGCCTGGGGCTTCTGGAGGCCTCCCTGGGAGAGATGAACCATGCTGAGGTTTGTGGGGCCCCTCCCTGGGCACAAAGGCAGGGAAATGGCGGTGACTGTGTGAGTGGGTGAAGCACCTCGGCTGTGCTGCTCCTGGATGGCCACAGTGGCCAGCTATGCTCGCTTCCCACGGCATCGACATGTCCCTGGGGTCCTGGTGTGGAGGGAGGGTGGCCGGACAGGTCACCTGCACAGACCCAGGAAGCGCTCAGGGCCTCAGTGTCAGCAGACTTGGGTGTGAGTCATGCTTCACCCCTGTGCATCAGGGGGATCCTGGGTGACCCTTCACCTCTCTGATCCTGCATCTCCTCTGACGGAGGGAGGGACTGAGCAGCTCTGGGGAGAGCAGCAGGTGCACTCCCCTCCTCCACCCTAAGAGCGACAGGGTGGGCTGTGGGAGCTCAGGGTGGACATGCTGGGGTTGGGGGAAAGCGTGCCCCGGGATGGCACAAGAAGACGAGGACCACCCGCTGCTCCTGTCTTCCACCCTCAGGAGAAACTCAGGAAGTCTGAAGAAATCCAGGACTCGGGGCGTCTTTGAGATGCGGGGCCCAGAGGCCCACCGCACTTCTCTGTCCCCACAGGCCACTTGCAGAGGGCCAGTGGTCAGCCCAGCCCCACGTCGGGACCAGCTCCGCGGCAGGGAACGGGGTCCCCAGGCTGTCTGTCGAAGGCGAGTGGGGTCACCCTGGTGGGCGGCCTGGGTGGGGCTGCAGTGGGATTTCAGAGCGTGAGTGGGACTGAGGGCCCGCGGGGCGATCCCGGCTGTGGGGTGAAGCAAGGTGCAGAGGCTTCCCAGGGATGGCGCGCGGATCCGGCGGGGTCCAGCTCCCCGGGGCCACGGGTCCCGGGCACCGCCGTGGTGCAGGGCTGTCGCCGTGGCAACGGGCGCTGCGGGGCGCGGGTAGCGCGCCGGGACCACCACCGCGCGGGGCGGGGCCTTGGGCGGAGGCGGGGCCTCTGGTGGGGGCCGTGCCGAGGAGCGAGGGGAGTGAGCAGAGCGGAGGGAGCGCGGCCTCTGCCCGGCGCGGAGGCTCTGCGGGCCGGCGGTGGGTAGGCGCGGGGCCGCCGACGGGAGCGGGGCGAGCAGGGGCCCGGGCGCCGGGGCTGGGATGCGCAGCGATGCTGCAGGGCGGGCCCCGGCCGGTGCGGGCAGTAGGGCGGAGACGCAGCTTGCCGGGAGCAACCTCGGTCTGGTCGGGGCTGGAGGCCCCTTCCTGTCTGCCCCCACCAGTGGGCACCGAGGAGGTGGCTAGGGGAGGGGGCAGGCAGGGGGCATGCAGGGGACCGCAAGGCCGGCCCAGGACAGCCAAGGCAGGAGGGCCTGGGGCCAGGTCCCCGGGGAGAGGCCGGGAAGGGTGTGCGGGAGGGGTGGTGAGGCCCTGGCTCTGGCTTCCTGGGGCAGGGGCGGGGGCTCCCCCTGCGGGCTCCCGTCGGGATGGGGTCTGTCCTGGCATCCTCAGCCCGGGTGTGACGAGTGACCGAGAGAGGGAACGAGAACGCCGAGGAGTAGATGGGGAGGGGTTAGCGGTGCAGTGGCTCTCTGGCTACTTGGCCTGGCAGGAAGGCTGCTGCGGCCCGAGGAGGCCCGGGTGGGAGGGGGCTTCCACCTGGTCGGTGAAGATGGGCTGAGTGTATGGGTGGGGAGCAGGAGCTCCCGGAACTGTGGAGGTAGCAAGGTACCTCCACTCGAGGTGTCTGAACTCACAGAGTGGGGGTCCTGTGTGGGGCTGCAGGGCCCCTGGGAGGCGGGTGCTGGGTGGGGCAGCAGCCTCGTTGAGGTCGGGAATGGAGGTGCCGATCTGGAGGAGGGCCTCCTTCCCCAGTCTTGGGGGCAGTGGTGTCACCAGGGCCAGGCTGAGCACTCGCTTCACAGTCACGGGTGACATTAAATTTTATGTCCTTGTCTAGACAGGGCAGTAAACAGAGCCCAGGGCCAGGGGTGCTGTGGAAGGGGGAGGCGGGGTGAGGGGGCCTGGCTGGAAGTGCGTGCAAGCGAGTCTGCAAGTGACGGTCAGAGGGTGCGGGCTTGTGGGCCCAGGTGTGGGGACCCCGTCTGCAGTGGGACACCGACCCGCGCAGTCGTGACAGCCTGTGTGCCAAGGCTGTGAGAGGGGCAGGGGGCTGCAGAGCCCAGAGAAGGTCGGGTGGGGACAGCGGAGGGCGGGCTTCCAGAGATGGCCCCAAAGGTGCAGGGGAGGGACTGGAAGGGGTCCACCCCTTCACAGTAACAGGGCAGTGTGGGTGTGCGGGCGCGCAGGCGGGGCGGTGTACCTGGCGGGAGATGCGGCCGGGGCGCGAGCCTCCGTAGGCAAGGGGAGCCCTGGTGGGAGTGGGGCTGGGAATGGTCCACACGGCCTGGGGAGAGTGGACGGGTGTGTAAGGGGTACTGAGTCGGCCGAGGCAGGGAGAGGAGATGCAAAGCAGGAGGCTTGTGGGAGAGGATCCTCAGTCCTGGACCAGAAAACATGCCGGGAGCGCCGGCGCCGCGCCGGGGATGGGGCCTGGGCCCCCGTGGGCCTCCGGCGCTCCCCGAGCGCGCAGAGCGGAGGCCGCGGGCCCGCCTCCCCGCCCAGCAAGGCGCCCGGCGGGGAGAGAACGCCGGAGGGTCGGCGGCGTGGGCCCAGCAGGGCCAAACCACCGGGGCCCGGGGACGCGCGCAGCGGGGAGAAACCACTTCCGTTCCATTTCCTTCCTGGCGGCGGCGGGAACCAGGTCTCGGGTCTCAGGTGGGGCTGCAGCGCCCCCTGGAGGCCCTGCTCCCGGCTCCCCGTCCCCCGCGAGCTTCGGCGCGTGCGTGCCACAGAGGCCCCGGGCGCCCGGCGCGCGCACAGCGCCCTGCGCCCCGCGCTGGAAGCACGTCGCGGGGGCCGGGGAGGGCGGAGGCTGCCCCGGCACTGCGCCCTTACTGTCTCCTCTGGTCTCCCCAGGTTCCGAGCTCGCCAGCCCGCAGCGGTGGCGCCCTCAGAGCGGCTGGACAGGCCCCGTCGCGCCATGCCCGCGGGCTGAGCGCCGCCGCCGCAGGGCCTCGTCCCGCCTCCCGTGGGGGCCGGGTGCGCCCAGGCCGGGGCCCCGGCGGCCGACCATGGTGCTGCCGCCCCCGGACCGGCGCCACGTGTGCCTGACCACGCTGGTGATCATGGGCAGCATGGCGGTCATGGACGCGTACCTGGTGGAGCAGAACCAGGGCCCGCGCAAGATCGGCGTGTGCATCATCGTGCTGGTGGGCGACGTGTGCTTCCTGTTGGTGCTGCGTTACGTGGCCGTGTGGGTGGGCGCCGAGGTGCGCACGGCCAAACGCGGCTACGCCATGATCCTCTGGTTCCTCTACATCTTCGTGCTGGAGATCAAGCTCTACTTCATCTTCCAGAACTACAAGGCGGCGCGGCGAGGCGCGGCCGACCCGGTGGCGCGCAAGGCGCTGACGCTGCTGCTGTCGGTGTGCGTGCCCGGCCTCTTCCTGCTGCTCGTGGCGCTCGACCGCATGGAGTACGTGCGCACGTTCCGCAAGCGCGAGGACCTGCGCGGCCGCCTCTTCTGGGTGGCGCTGGACCTGCTGGACCTGCTGGACATGCAGGCCAATCTGTGGGAGCCGCCGCGCACCGGGCTGCCGCTGTGGGCCGAGGGCCTCACCTTCTTCTACTGCTACATGCTGCTGCTGGTGCTGCCGTGCGTGGCGCTCAGCGAGGTCAGCATGCAGGGCGAGCACATTGCGCCGCAGAAAATGATGCTCTACCCCGTGCTCAGCCTCGCCACTGTCAACGTGGTGGCCGTGCTGGCGCGGGCCGCCAATATGGCGCTCTTCCGCGACAGCCGCGTCTCGGCCATCTTCGTGGGCAAGAACGTGGTGGCGCTGGCCACCAAGGCCTGCACGTTCCTCGAGTACCGTCGCCAGGTGCGCGATTTCCCGCCGCCGGCGCTCGCGCTGGAGCTGCAGCCGCCGCCCCCGCAGCGCAACTCCGCGCCCCCGCCCCCGCCGCTGCATGGCCCGCCCGGCCGCCCCCGCGGGCCCTCGCCCGCGCGTGACGCCCTGGGCACGTGACAGGGCCTGCGCGGCTTGCCTGGGATGGGGTGGGGGCGGGCTCCCCACGGGGCCCGGGGCCCGCGGCCGCTTCTTCGTCTCAGGAATCCCTCGGACCGGGCCGTGGACTCGCAGCCCCGCTTCCGCAGCGTGTGGGCCGGTGTGCGCTTGGCCTGGGCGCGCCCCTCCTGTGGGGGCCTGGGGCAGGAGGGGGGACAGAGCGGGCGGAGGTCTGGCCCCTTGGGGGTCCCTTGATGGGGGCCTCTGGCTCAGAGTTTGGGGCCAAGGAGGCCTCTGTCATTTTAAAGACTCGTGTTTACAGTTTTGTATCCAAAGCCGCCGTGCCCTGCTTGTGTTTCCTGAGTGCTGTTTCTGGCAGCTGGACCGGGTGGGAGGAGGGGGTGGGAGGGGGCGGTGGCGAGGGGTCTGGGCCAGCTCCTGGTGCCGGACCATTGCCGCGCTGTCACAGAGACCCTGACCCCCCAGCCTCACCGTCCGCACCCGCAGAGGTGCCAGAACCCCGACTCTGCGCTTCCTGGGATACCTTAACCACGTGCCCGCCCCCACCCCTGAGCCCCAGAAGTGACCCCGAGCCCCTGGCTCTCTCCGCAGCGCCAGGGGTGGGAGGAGGGATGGGGGGGCAGGGTGTGAGAGCGGGTCTGGGCTTTGCTCCCAGGTGGACATTGTAGGCTGAGGCCAGGAGCATGGAGCCTGGCCCCACCTCACCTGGGCCTTCGGGGACAGACACCCATGGAGCCCACAGCAGTGTGGCCTAAGCCGCTTGGGCCCTGGTGGGGCAGAGAGGACGCTTGAGGCTGCCTGACCTGTCACTGAGAGCACAGGACACCAGGTGCAGATGACTTCTCTCCTGGCCTTTGCCTGGTGCCATGCCCTTGTGATGTGGCGCTGGGCACGCACCCAGCCAAGGACGGTTTTGATAGCATTTGGGGAGGGGGCCCTTTGCCTCAGTCCTTAGGAGGCTGTTGAGGTGGCTGTTTGAGGACACCTTACAAGATTCCTGGCTGATGACCCCAGGCGGCCCCCATTGTGGAGCCCTGTGGCGGGCCAGGCCTGCCCTCGTGCATTCACCTGTCCTGCTGGGGGTCAAGGCCCACCGTCGCCGTTGTTTGTGTCTAGAACCAACAGCTCCCAGAAGGGCTCAGAGCTGTGGGTGCAGAGCAGGGTCGTGACTGAGCCCCCTTCCTGCTGACCCCTGCTCAGGGCGTGGCTGGCTGGTCACTGGGCCCCCTCAGCAGGCTGTGGCTCCCTGCCCCCCATCTCTGCTCTACCCCAGCTTGCGGTTGCCTGGGGTCTGGTTTTGGGAGTTGTGTGTTTCCCAGCCAGGGGCCTGGGGGACCAGTGTCCTCAGATGCCCAGGGACTGCTCACGGCTACAGCCCTGCTCCTGTCTTCCAGCACGGTCACTCGGCTCCACCTTCTGACCACAAGCTCGGCAGTGTCTCTCTAAGCCTGGGGAGCCCAGGTGGGGAGCAGGGGTGCTCTCTCCTCCTGGGTTGGCAAGTGGGGTGGGGAGGAGGAGCAGAGGGGGCGCCGGTGGGGAGCTGTCCTGGAAAGACCACAGGGGAGACGTGGAGAGCGTGAGGGGCTGCAAGGGGTCCAGCCTGCTAGTGAGGCAAAGTGTGGGTGCAGTCTTGGGAGTGTGTGGTCTGGGGTGGGGGCAGTGGGTGAGGTTCAGTGTTGCCCATCCTGTCTCCCCCCGACCCTGGTCTCTTTGGAGTATGTCCTTGGTGAGTCCTGTGGAAACGGATGCCGTGAGGGGTGCATGGGAGAGGGGGGCTGACAGGCTCTGGGTCCCTGCTGCCCTCTCCCCACGGCCTGTTTTGACCCTTACCTTGGAAGCCCGTCCTCAGAGGAACCCCTGCTGGCCCTCGGGTTGAGGAACATTTTGTGGGCTCAGCTTTGCTGTGAGGCCCCGCGTCCAGTGTCAGAGGTGGGAACTGGTCAGACTTCCAAGTAAGCCCTCAGCACTGGTCACGGCCTCCCATCTCTGCTCCGTTGGCCTCCCCAGGCCATTTAGTGCGGAGGGCTCGGGCCCCACCCTGTCCTGACTTGGTTTAGTGGCCCACATGCCCTCCTGATGGTCTCTGAGGGCATCTGGACAGATGTGGGGGATGCGAGGGAGGGACTCCTCCCTGCAGAGAGGCCTGTGGCCGGCGTCCACTGTTTTCATGGGGGAGCTAGGCTCTGGCTGCAGCAGGACCGGGAACTCGGGGCGTCTGGCAGGCTTGTGGCCTGAGGTGTCTGTTCTCTGGGGTCTGCCTTGGCAACAAGATGCAGACCTGGCTGCGTTCCAGTCCGCCCTTCTCTGGCTTCCCGAGGTGGCCTGTGGTGGCCAGACGTGGCAGAGAAGCCAGCCACTGGTCCTTTGTCCCTCATCATCCCGCTGGTGAGCTCCCAGGTCCTGATGCAGTGTCTGCTGGGGCTGGTCCCGTGCAGGCCCTGGTGCTGAGTCCAGGCAGAGACCGTCCCTGTGCAGGTGGGGGTGGACTTATGGGGTGGCCGGACCCTGTGCGAGGCTCCTGCAGGGAGGGGTTGGGTCTGGGAAGAGCAGGGAGGCCTTTCTCAGACAGTCGGTGGAGGGGCTGGGGTGAAGGTGGTGGGGACTGGGCCAGCAGGGCAAGGGGCTTAGAGGTGGGCCAGGCACACGGGGTGGACTGAGGTGCCCATGGGCCACCTGGGAGGCCATTGGCGATAGAACTGCACCCATAGATTCCGGGTGGCAGCGGGCTGGGCTGCTCAGGCGTGAGTGGGAAGGAGAGTGAGGAGGGTGTGGCCGGCTCCTGGGGGAGGGGCAGCAGGGGGGCAGAGGGGAGGACCTGGGCAGTGGGGTCCAGAGGAGGGGTGTTTCCGGGAGCCGTGTCCGTCCCATGGGTGCAGCTTGCCTGTCTCCGGGGCCAGGTCAGATGCCACGTCCTTCGCCCATCCTCTACCAACAAGAGAGTGCATGGAGTGTCCTAGGAGAAAACCCCGATATGATAAGAGCTGGACGCGATCTGTGCCCGTGTGTCAGACTGGGGTGTGCCCTCCTCCCAACGTGGGCTGTCCTGGCCAGAGATGCCCGGGGAGCTGGCCCCATCAGGATCTGAGGTCCTGTCCCGAGCCCACCGGATGAGTCGTGTCTGGACACTGAGGTCCCCAGCGGGCCTCGCTGCTCACCGTGGTGCTCCAGCCCTAGCTCTGCAGGCCCCTGGGATGTCAGGACCACCGGTCCTGCCCTGAGAAAGCCCCAGCCCCATAACCTCCAACAGAGAGCTTGGCCTTAGCTTGCTTCAGGTAGGAAGGTCAGACTGTGGCCTTGAGAACACTTGTCACCTTGCTCAGACTTTGAGGCAAGCCCTCCCAGGGTGGCTTCAGCAGGTCGGCCACATCAGGCAGGACCAGGCTCTGTGTGCGTGTACTTCCCGTCTTGGAGGGCTGGCGATGTCTCCCTGGGTGGTCCCAAGGGTCCACACAGCACCGTGCTCACATCAGCTCCTGAGCAGCATCCAAGTGCAGGAGAAGAGGGCTGAGGCCCCTCCTGTTGGTAGGAAAATCTTTTTCTGAAGTCCCCAGCGTGGGTCCTCTTGGGCCCCACGGTCCAGGTCTGGCTCCCGTGACGGTCCCTTCTCCTGACAGCTGGCCGCGGGGCCTGGGGGGCCGTGACCTCATGACCTGTTGGGTCTGGGGTTTGACGGCACACCGGGTCCGAGACTCGGGACCTTGTTATGGTGCAGCAGGAGCTCCAGCTGGTCCCTCTGCTCAGGGGCCCGCGGGGGGGAAGGGGAGGGCCTGGCGGGTGCATGGCACACTGCCGACGGGGTCGTCTCGGAGGTGTCCGAGGTGGGCCCAGCTCCCCTGCAGACCTCTGACCTGGTCAAAGCCGTACTCATCCCCAGTTCCGGTGCTGAGACTTTCTGCATGATGCCAGCACACATCCAAGTCGCCAAATGGAGAAATATGCAGGGAAGCCCCGAAGGGCCACTCACTCTCAGGGGTCTGCACCATCATGCTATTCAGCCCCTTCCCAGGTGCTCCTGACAGCAAGACTCGAGCTGCCGCTGAGCCTCTGGGAGGTTCTGGGGTGTCCCTGGCCAGAGCACCCCCGCCCCCCCGTGGCCCTGTCCTCCCCCTGGGCCGGGGGTGGGGCAGACCCACCTTCACCTGCCTGTGGGGCACATCACACTGCAGACACAGGCCGGTCACTTGAAAAGACAAAACACGTGAATTCTGACCCTTCATCTTCCGTCCAAAGCACATTCACACTTTCTGTAGCAAAATGGCCTTGTAATAATGGAACACAATTTGGCAAAATCGAACCGGCTCACTGAGTCGCTAACTGCTCACTCCATCAGTTTCGTTCTGTGCGGCTGGGTGCTCGAGCTGCACTCACTGATGGCGCGGGCACCCCTGTCCAGTTCAGGGTGGCCGCCGTGTCTGCTCCCCGGGGTGGGGGAGGCCAGTTGGCTGGTGGCCCCAGGCCGAGGGGGGAGGGACAGAGCAGCCACGCCTGGAAAGGTAACTGCGTGGAACCAGCGAGACTAAGAAGAAACAGCCTGAGGGATCCAGCCTGGGGTGGGGGCTCTGGTGCTGCAACAGCCACGTTCAGAAGGATCCCTCCCGGCAGCGGCTGCAGGGAGAGCCGTTTGGGCGCCGAGGGCAGAGGGGCAGAGGCTCTGGAGGTGGGTGGTCAGTCAGCGTCCTGCAGGGAAACTGTCCCTGGGACAGATGGACCACGGAGGTGTGAGGAGACCTGGGGTCTGGGAAATCCCACTGTCTGAGTCTACAGGTGGGGCCCAGGGGAGCCTGTGGGGCAGCTCAGTCCAAGCCCGAAGGTCTGCCCCAGCTCCGGCACGGAGTCCTCCCTTCCCGGAGCCTTCTCATCCTTCCTGGTGCTGGGGAGGGCTGCCTGCCTCACTGTGTCCACTGACGTGGGGCCCATCTCTTCCGGAGACACCCGCGCAGACACCCTGAAGTGCGGAGGGAGGACTATGGGGTGGCAGCCCACGTGCGGGAGGCACAGCAGAGTGCGGACTGGGT